GAGAGAGAGAGAGAGAGAGAGAGAGAGAGAGAGAGTGAGAAAGAGCGAGAGAGAGAGAGAGAGAGAGAGAGACAAAAAAATCTCCACCGCCCCCCTCGGCTACGGCGCCAAGACAACCACAAAAAAAAAAAAAAAAAAAAAAAACCCCCCCCCCCCCCCCCCCCCCCCCCCGGGCAAATGGAACCCAGCACTGAGTAATGATTCAAGTATACACCGGTGGGCAGTTCTCTGTGACGATACATGACCGGAAGAAGCATCTGGTCTGCAAGTTGGCCCAAATACAGGCACAGAGGGGAATGATTTATTATGGCACGATGCACATGACAAGCATGGAATGACAAACTTGAACCAAACCGATCAACCGGTCCCGAAACAGACAGGGCACAGGCCATACTCACACTACCCTCCCTTCACACTTATCAGGGAGGGCTGTGCTATCAGACCCTCCCCTCGGTCGAATTAGGCCGAGGTCAGCCCGCCTTATTAGGCCTGTGTGTACAAATTACCAGTTCAGTAGGTATGACGTAGTCATTAGGTAGCAGAAGTACGAGGTGATTCAGCATTAGACAGGCTCGGTAGGTGAGACATAGACGCCAGGTAGCAGAAGTATGACTTGATTCAGCAGTAGTCAGAGACACCATTGTGCTAAAACTGATTATTTTGAAACAGTTCATGAGGGAGAATTCACAGCACAGGGCACAGGGGCGAGCCTTGAGCCGGACCCCGCCCCAGCTGCGCATTTTTGTAGTTAATAGAAGTAAGAACATAGGGAGAATGAGAATGTTAATGATTCGCTCAGGTCACTCGACGGGTCTCAGCCGTCCCGTAAAAAGCGAAACTGGCTAAGGCTGCCAGAGTTACACCGGGTTGAACTGTGGGGTTCCCGGCCCCCCTGGTTTTCTCAATGCTAATAAACTTCAATTTAAAAAAAAAAAAAAAAAAAAAAAAAAAAAAAAAAAAAAAGAAAAAAAAAAAGAAAAAAAAAANTGTGTGTGTGTGTGTGTGTGTGTGTGTGTGTATATATAATATATATATGTTTGTGACGATATATATATATACGTCATACGTCAAACAGAGCTGCCCGGTAAACTGTAGGCAAAGAGGGAGGGAGAGAAGAGGACAACAAACGAGGGGCTGTGGCAAACTGTTTCGTCGGAGTTTCACCGACTCATCAGGTATCTATCTATCTATCTATCTATGCATAGGACTTAACAAGACAAATATAGGAGCAGCACACATGCACCCCTACACACCCACACCTACACACCCACACCTACACACCCACACCTACACTCCCACCACCACACACTCCCACCTCACACTCTCACACAACCGCCTCCCGGTTATGCCCACCCGCACCCACATACTCACTCCCACTGACACACACAGAGCTGCCCGGTAAACCGTAGACAGAGAGGGAGAAGAGGACAACAAAGGAGGCGTCAAACATATCTACTTCAGCAGAGATAGGCACAAGGGCTTGACGTAGGGCCTCGCTGCACTACTCTCGACATGTGTATCTTTCCATATTCTTGCGGAAGATTCACTCTCGTTTTGCGCATTTCGAGAGTAGTGCGCGAGGCCCTTACTCTCATACTCACGCACGAGTCAGTGACTTCGGCACAAAGATCTATTCTCTGTGAAAATAAAGCCAAGTACATCTTTGATTATTGATTTTGAAAATATACATAATACATATATTAATACTTTTTTGTTTGTCTGCCTCCCATGAACTTTTTTTTTTTTTTTTTTTTTTTAATTGCCTCCCATGAACTTTCGGCGAGGCAGGAAAAAAAAAAGGAAAAAGGAAAAAGGAAAAAGGAAAAATTGGGAAATGGAAAAGCATAGCCGCTGATGACAGTTCTATAACGTGAGCAAACTTGGCAATACCAGAGTTGAGCCAGTTAAAAAAAAAAAAAGGCCAGATCCAGATGTTATATTACATATACAACATTAGGTGTACATATTTATTAAATAATATGACATTAGAAGTTAGAACTATATTATATTATATTATATTATAATATATTAATCATATATTAAATTATATATTGTGTTCTATTACTACATAGTACATAATACATATATCCCTCAAGAAGTGAGCAGGGTGCTTGCCACACAAGCAAGCAAGGTGCTGAATGGTACCAGTGACCCTTAGTGCATCGGAAGAGAACCTTTCTTTTTCTTTTCTTTTTTCCCTTTTTTCCTTTTTTTCCTTTTTTCCCCTTTTTTTCTTTTTTTTTTCGTTTTTTCTTTTTAACAATTTTTTCGTTTTTTTTTTTTAACAAAAAAAAACAGGAAAGGCACCGTTCTCCAAGGTGCTGAATGAATGTTGTTAACCCTTCCTGACTCCAAAGGCCACTCACTCACTGCTCTGGAAACGTACCTGTAGCCATCGACATTGGCACCATACTTGTTCGTGAATTGGTACACTCCCTTGCCCTGCAAAAAAAAACGTCGTCGGCCAAAAAAATACACAAAACCAAAACAAGAGCACTCTTCTCAGCGAAAGTAGAGAACAATTTAAATCTCTCTCTCTCTCTCTCTCTCTCTCTCTCTCTCTCTCTCTCTCTCTCTCT